CCCCAAAACCCCAAAACCCCACGACATTATATTTTTGAATTTTTATGAAATTAAAGAATAATCATTCAATTTTAGTTTTACTTATCATTAATTAGATTTTAGCTATTCAAATTGAGAAAGTTTCTTAATTTTTACGTTATAGCCTTGGACATAGAGTGCTCCATCTTTGTGTTGATTTACTAAAGGATTCTATGGGTCATTAACACCATCACTGTTTATTTGCTCTATAATTACTTAAAGGCATACTTTTTATTAATCTTGGTGAATACTATTCAGCTTGCATAGAGCATGAAGAACAATGTCAATTTCCTATTATGGAAAATTCTTACCCGATATTATTCTAACATAGATCAAATCGGATTTTTGTTATTGCATTGAGAAATCATACACTAAGTATTAACTCTTAAATTTTTCGATTTTATTAATTTATTCATTGAACTTATTATAGCTGAAAGTCATATTCTTGTTTGATACTATTGCTTGGTTTGTATAAGCAGTAGTTAAGGGATTTGATAGTATTGAATGTCTTTCATGGATAGCCTGAACAGCTTCATTAAAACATCTTGAAAATTTAAGGAAGTGTCTTGTGTGAACCATAATGCCTAATCCTGTTTTTTAATCGTGTTCATTAAGATTTTCTGCCATTCCTAGGTCATCATCAGAATATAGTCTTCTGAGAATCATTAATTCTATTCTTCCATTAATATAAGCTGAGCCACCCTGTGGTCTGTCATTCATCACACTCATTTAAATTCCTTAAACTTCATCCTATACCATTATTCCTGATGTAATTGGGTAATAGTTTGCAGATGGCATGAGATTTGGATAATCCTGAACTATCTTTCCCCTATATACAGTCTTCTTGATCATTCCAAGTCCATTTGAATCAGTGTAAAATATATCATTGCTATCAAAGTCAACTGCTTACCAAGTGGCCACTACTTCTAGCCCCTGGGAACTTTCTGGAATACCAGCAAAATCAAGATCGAACTCAATTTAATCTGAGTTATCGTGAAGTATGATTTTGAGAATTGATTCCTATTAGATCTTATCTTCAAAGTGTACGACTATCTAGGATACTTACTTTCCTTAAAATGCAAGTATTTGAGTTATTTAATGATTGTAATCAGTAGCTTCTGGACTAGAACTTTTAAATATATAGGCGCCACTGTTTTTGATTACACTTGATTGCTCAGACAAATAGGCCTTCAACTGATATAAAAAGCTTTATGAAACCCCACTAATTTAATCAACTTGAGTAATAATTAATATATCCTATTTCTATTACTCTACCGATATTGATAATTTCTAGTTCTTGATAGTATAAACTGGCATCTTTTTAGCGGATACCTCTATCTAATTTGCTATGCTTGTCTTATTAATTTAGAATATGACCATTTGGAATGGTTGAACATAATGATGTACGTATAAATCACATTCAATTAGCCAAAGTTATTTTGCTTAACAGAGATTTTCTTAGTCGAAAATTAATTCAAATGCCTATTTTTCAATGTTCCAGTAAGATGCTGAGTAGTTTGCTGATGGAAGAGTTAATTAAATATGTGGAATAGGATTAAGGGAAGGATTGAAGGCAACGAAAGTTATCAATTGATCACTTTCATTAAATTAATCCTGGTTAGGGCATTGCAATTTTTCATTAGATTTTAGCTCGCATAACTAAAGATTATCTAATTCAATTCCTTGTTTAAACGCTAATGATTAGAGTTCCTCAAGCAGCAATGGTTATCTAGTTCATAATTCTTAATCAATTGCTCTAACGTAATCCTCAACTATCCTTTTCTAAGATGTACCCGTTATAGCATCATGGTGATAGAGTTAGCTTGCAGTTTGAATGAGACTTGCTGTGAGATTTATTAACTAATCAATACTTGTATAATTATAGCTGGATAAGTGTTGAACAGCAAATATATTTGAGGTAGATTCAGCTGAACTTGCCATATAGTTTATATATTACTTAAGATTAGGTCTACTAGTGTAATACCCAGACCAATATCCATTTCTTTCATACTCTTACAGAGGCATAAAATCATTCTCGTAAGTAAATAGCTCTTTATTTTATTATTTTAGCTCATTTTAGACTGCTTCATAGTATTCTTAAAGAGTAGAAAATTTGAATATCACTTTATCAGTCTTATTTTGAATTATCGAAATGACTTAGTCAATGAATTAAAAAGAATCTTTTGCTTATTAGAAAGCAAAATCGTCACCATAAGCCCACAGTAAATTATTTGTTGAGTATGATTTGGTTGCATTTAGTAATTCATCTATTACATTTTAAGGGTTTGCGTAGATATTACGAAGTTGCATATCGTAAAAGAAGTAAACATCTTGATAGGGATTATCTGGAGAAACTAGAGCTTCTTTAACTGGAGACTTGTACTGATTGAACAATAGGTGAGTAAACAGTTTCGATTGTAAATTCTAAGAATCCTATAGAAATTTAGGGTTAAGTACTTTTTCTTCATCAATTAAGGTTTCAAATTTTGGATTCCAATTGAATTCTAATCCACCATTTTTAGATAAATACTCTCTTGTCTCATCAGACATTCTTCCAAAAAAAAGTCCTTTATATCCAAGATTGATGAACATTTAGGCTGTGCCTGAAGAATGTCCAAATGCATCAACATGCCAAGCAAATTTAGGTACTACTCCAAATTCTTACCAAAGAAATTAATGTCCTGCTTAAATATTTTGAACTAATTCTAAAATGATTAATTATGAATAAATTTAAAATTACCTCTAATACTAGGACAAGCTTCATCACTTGCAACCCATCCACCATTAACAAATTCCCATCTACCTTCAATGACTAATTATTTAAATTAACTCTTAACTGTGTCATTTTAATTTTCCCACCATCTCTTGAAGTACATTATTTCTGCGTGTGTGAACTTCTTATCTTTTTAAGAGCTCAAAACTTCCGTCAATTCAGAATATATTGTATTAACCTATTACTAATATTCATCAATTGTTCTTATCCAGCCAGCATCTTAATGAGAATGAGATATTATATGAACAGTAATTTTATCATCTTGGGATTTATGATTTGAAAGGCTTAGTATTGCTCTGAGTTTACTGGTATTGCTCAATGAGAATGTCACAGAACAGATAGAGAAGAGTAGTGTAATATGAAATAGAAGTAGTCTATAGCTTTACTTTTACATAGAATTTTCTAAATTTAAATCTTTTAATTTTAACTTTAATTTCTATAATTATTTGTCTTTAAAATAGCATATATTTCGTTTTATGGGGTTTTGGGGTTTTGGGGTTTTGGGG